TTTTCTTTTCTACAAACTATCTCCCCCCACCCTGCCCTACCCCCACCCTTACACCCATTATCCAGTATACTGAATGGGAATTGTAACTCTTTCAGAAGACAGCTAATTGATTTACAGTACTCTAAAAACAACCCTGAAAACTGATAATCTCATTCATTTACTGTAACTTCAGTGCTGTTATCGACAGAAAAGAAAAAGTTACCTTAAGGCTTAAGGGAAAGTAACTTATTAAATTGTGAATGCAGCATTTTTTACTCTCCCATCCATTGGAAACTAGCAAAATGTATTCTGAATCAACAATACAAACTTTCTAACGTTAGCAAAGATTTCTAATCTCCTGACATAAAGTTAGAATAATATTCATAAACAGAATATCTAGGGGAGCCTGAGAAACCATGATCCACATCACACAAAGATCCTATGCATTTCATGGTCAAAAAGTGCTTTATCTTTGAGAAATATGTCAGGGATAAAATGGAAATATACAATGCAAAAAACACTTGACACTTTTTCACAATTGTGGAAAAGGAGCAAAAAGGTCTGCTCTCTGAACAGGCCTTACTTATGCACAAGACTTTTAAGGTGTCCTAAATTAATATTGATTTAAAGAATTCATAATAGTGGGGATTTCACTCCACTATATTTAAAAAATAAACAGAGATTGGACATCAAAGCTGTCAACTTTGTTATTCATCAGAGCAATTCTGATACTTAGAAAACTCAATTGAATTAGCTCCAGGATCAAAACATTAACTTTCCCCAATCAAAAAGGATACAATCAAAAACATACCTAGAGTGTTATAGAACAACTCTCAGCAAACAAGTCATTTTCATATAAGCAAAAAGTCACTTCTTTCCTCTCCCTTCTCACTGATCAAGGACACACGATTTTCAAATGAATATCTACTGAGAGATCAGTTGTGCATTGGACAAAGTACATAATTGGGTTAAAAATGAAAACAAAATTTTCAGTGAAGAATACTTATGTGCATGGCTTACACACTCCAGCTTCTTAATTTTATCCACCTCAAGAGCAAGGTAGATGCACAGTCACCTTGTGTAGATTACATTCTACTCCCCTGTAAAGCCAGTCAAGGTCATATTTAAGCATCTTCAGCAACAACAGTGCCTGAAGTGTGCAGCCATTTACAGACCACTCAATATGAGGGCATTATTATAACCAGCCTCTTTTGCCCACAACCCGGCATTTTCAGATAAGACAAGATAATTATTTTGTTTTGAGAAAACCGAAGCTTGAATCTCTTAAAAGACCTGCAATTTACTGCAAAGTGACCCAGAGGTAACAAAGGAAGCAGGAGGTTAATGGCTGCCTGCACCAAAAGTCTCTCAATCATTCTGCAGTAAATAATTATGGAAAGTGACATGACAAGTAGCCATGTGTGTACCACAGCTACAGCCAGTTGTACCACCTATATGCCTCCAACAGTTCCATAGGGTATTTGGGGGTTTTTGGTTTACTTTTCAGTTTGATTTTTGGTGCTATACAGACTGACATTTTGTTTGGTGCAGCATATGCACTGAAAGATCTGCTCACCAGATTTACCATTTCACTTGCTGAAATGATGAGAAGGGACAATAGAAACCTAAAGAGTTACATCTCTTCACAGAGACCGACTCTTTTGACTGTTTGAAAAAAAAAGGCTTATCTCTGTAGTTAATTTGAAATAAAACTCAATTTTTTGAAAAGGAGTCTTAGTTCCCTATTTCTAAGGAATGTAACTATTTTCATTAGCTGGGATGTTTGCCAAATTTTAAAAACAACTTCTAAAGCGTTTGTAGTAAGCAGCTAAAAACAAAACAAAAAAGTTAGTTGCTTCCCAGAGTTTGTATAATGCCATTATCTAACTGGAACAAAGACTATTTCCTTTAATAAGCTAGTATTAATGAATGAATCTCCATGCTCTGCAGATTTCTATTGTGCCTAGTCACAGGAATGAGGATCAGTGAAATGCTACAATTAATCTACATCCTTCTGCAATCTTCCTACAGTGGAAGAGAGGCGATTAAACACCCCTGCAGGAAAAATAAGCCTCAGAGATTGGTTTAAGACTTAAAAACCCACCACTAGGACATTCACACTTAATCTTACACAGGCAGGTCAAAATTTTAATATAAATTACTTTTGCCAACACCTAGCTTACGCATTCTTTGCTCCTTTTTTTGGAGGATTCTCAAATTGATATCTAAAGACTTACATATGATATATAACTGTTATATGGTCTAATGACTAAGAAAATTTCTCAGGTAACCAAAGCTGATGCCATATATGGTAGTGTTCTTGGCATATACTCTATATGCCTCAGACCACTTCCACATTCTTTCTATTCAGCTAATTATAGCTGAGTAGCCACTGGTAAAGGATTGTGAAGACCCTGTCATATCTACAGAATAGAAAGGCAAGGCTAGTTACTGCAATTCAGCCAAATAAAAAGAAAAGAAAAAAGATTAATAAACCACTCCCTTGAAAAGGAGAGGTACTGCACCTTTGCAAAATTGAACTGGCTCACTGCAGCAGAGCAACAGAATCACCACTGAAGCAAGAAAATAAGTTGGTCTATACAGGAATTGTACATGATTTGAAAATGCAAAAGTTACAGCGATCAACTAATAGCTGCAACCTTAATTTCCATTGCTGCCTCAGAGTTGAAACTTAAACAGTTTTTGCAAGCCTAATGCTAGCTTCTCATCTCCTTTACTAAAACTAGGAATTTGTTCTCCGCAGCAAAGAAACAAAACACTCAAAACACATAGGTAAATACAGCAGGACATTATTGAAAACAGCTGCCTTGTGGTACAAAATACAGTACAAGTATACGGATGTCATTAAAACATCAAAAATACTATTGCTCCCATACAATTTAGGAAACATTCTTGGCAACGGAGAAAAATTGAAAAGAAAAGCTTTAAAAAACGTATAAAAATTCTACTATGAATGATGTGAGTAGAGAAATAGTCTGAAAAGGGCACCAATGTTTGTGGCTCTTCTATTTCTTTGAACCTAAGATCAACATTATTTTGAGTCATAGTCCAGTTTTTTTTTAAAAAGCCTAATTTTATATACACAAGTATCTCCCTCTCAGCCACAAATACATGAAAATGACCTTTTTGTATATTACTTATTTCCCAATAAATACAAAAAGATTGTATAGATTGAATACCAAAATAAGATAATAAAAAGGATATGCAATAAATTAAAAAGGCAGCTCAAATAAAGGACAGGCATGCAGTTAAAAAAAATACTAAGAATGTGGAGATGGGGTTACTTGCCTCCTGGTTGAGAAGATGTCACACAAAGAATACCTGAAAACTTTGGAAAGAACATTAGCTCCCATTCAATTCAAAGTTTCCTAGGCCTGTGACATTTCTAGAAATACCTTTTGATGGGGTGGGATTAACTTGATTAACAAAAATCATTTCTACTGAAAATCCATTTAAAATATAGAAGAGGCGATCCATGAAAACCCCAACTTTTATTCTTGAAAGACAGCTGGATAAACTGGCCAATGCCAGTATGTTGCAATTTCAAGATGGTATAAAAATGCTTCCAGGATATAGTCAGCATATTCACGTTCACATCAGTTCCATTCACAGATGGATTTCAGCTTCCACCGGGTGCACTGCTTGAATCATTTATCCATCATTTGCCAACTTTGATTGTGAGGTACTAATAAGATGGATCAAGTTCTTAAAAATTTGTTTTAAAGAAGAAATGATGCTGGAATTCTGAACCTGAGGATCTTTAGTATTTGAACAAATCCACAGATTAAACTGAAGGTGAATTAAGACTTCAGTTTTAGTTATTTCCAACTTCTCTGTGAGGATGCATATTCCATTAAAGCTCAGGCTTGTAGCCATACTGTTCCTTTTGCAGAAAATCATCAAGTTTTACAGTTAAAAATGCAGCCAACCAGTGGCTGTAACAGCCAAATTAGCCACAATTCACTGGCTCATATAGTAGAGCCATGGGATCTGGCTCTCATTCACACCAATGCCACTTCTTGGTAATGACCTCCACCTTTAGAGATCAAGGGAAGAACTTTAGTGAGCAGCAACCCATCCACTCAACGAGTTTGCCTTGTGCTTTATGCCTGACTTATTGTGCCTACCTCAGCAACCCCCAATGTAAAACTGCTTTTATTTTTTGAAAAAAAAAATTCCTTTTGCCCAACTTTTAAACTATTTTAGTAATGAATTCTCTAGTTCAAGCATTGGCTTTTGAATTTTCGCATCCTGGAAAACAATTCTGCAAAGAAAAGACATGGGGCCAGATTCCATGCAAAACCATTAAAAAACAATCCAATTTGTTTTGATTTGCTGATGGCTTCTTGAATTCTTTTTTGCCTTGTCCATGATTGTGTAAAGTTGCATTCCTTTTCATAAACCTGGACTCTCAGGACTGGGTAACTGCAAAGGTCTCTCTGTCTCAAGAATTTCTGTGCAGATCTCGATCCAAAAGGCTGATTACAATGAAGGTGAAGGATAGACACTGCAACGGCGGCTAGGCCTGGAGAGATACTTTAGATTTACCCAGGTACAACACAAATTCAACTGTTATACACAGATGGATCTGGGTAAGTCAGATGTGTTTAGGGGCCCAGACTCGAAATCTATCCCCTTCAGGATTATCTAGATGAGCTTAGGAACCTCGGGTGGGAAATAGAAGCTGAGACTCTTGCAGGTGAGGAGATGCTGTTGTCCTCTCTTTGCAGGTTGCTGTCAATTTCTGGAACTTTACTGCTTTACTCACTGTTCAAGACTGTTGTCTTATGGTTATTTCTCTTAACTATATTATTTTTTTTTAATTTTGTTGGGTTTTTTTTCTCCCTTGGTGGCCTCCCGGGCTCCCTCTCCACTAGCTCACAGGGGAATGAGCAAGAATGGGAACTAGCCAGTGGGATGGGGGATGGGGGGCGCGGGTAACAGGGTGGGGGAGGCCAGGGGGGAAAGCTGCCATTTCAATCCTCATCCACCTCCACGCCTTAGGACTCCTCACCCTCCCCCGCAGCACGACACTCATAAAGCTTATCCCTCTGCTGCTCCTGGATTTCTTTCATCTTATCCGCATACCGGCAGAAGACGCCACCAAACTTGCTCCAGGCCTTGAAGGGCACGGTGATGGCATTGCGGTAGGACGGCTTCACCTCACTCACACGTAGAAAAACTCCGTACTTGTTGCAGCCCACATCGAAGAAGAAACGTTTGGAGTCCACAGTAATAGAGGTGCCCTCCGGGAGTTCCTCGCACAGCCCCCCAACCCCCCGGGGCTGGCGGCACTGCCTCTTGGGCCTCCGGCCAGCTCGTCTTCCTCGCCTCCCTAGTCGTCGATGAGCTTGGTGAGCATGTTGGAATTCGATGAGACCTTGCGCTGGCAGCACGATGGTCTGGCCGCTCTGGAGGCCACCAGGCCCAGGGCCTGGGCCAAAGCCGCCGCCGCAGCGGTTGAGGGACTGGCGGATGCGCAGGAAGCGGCCGAGCTGGTTCTCCTTGAGATCCAGGTAGTATTTGCAGTTCTCGCGCACCAGGAACTCGCTCTTTTTTTTTTTAATTTAATTTTATTTTATTTGAGAACATACTGTACAGAGGGGTTACAATTACATGGGCAGGATAATGCATACATTTCTTACCAAGCATTGCAGCCTCCTCCTTTGTTTACCCTTCACCTCCCTTCCCAACCTCCCCCCTCCCCCCCACCCAATCCTTCCCCCCCCCACACCGACATTGTAAAGCTCGTTTTTGACATGACATTTTGTACTTCTCATGGTTGCAACAGGTCCACCTGAATCCTTAAACGACTTGTTTGTCCCCATCTCCTCCACAACTTATACTGACATCAAATATAGTGAAAGCGGGCGTTACACTGTGGGGGAGGGACATACAAAGCAACAAAGAAATAATCTTATAAATGCGTTAGAAACACATGCATGAAAGAAAAAAAACATTAAAATACATATCTAAGGGTTCGTTTTCCTAACATCACATTATCTGTCCTTTTCCGCTTGACTCATAGATGTACTAGATATTGCAAATAAGGGAAACCATGGGACCTATGTTTCTTTGGGCCTGGCTTACTTCACTTAATATAATTTTTTCCAAGCCTTTCCATTTCCTAACAAATGGGGCAATGTCATTCTTTCTGATGGAGGCATAGAATTCCATTGTGTATATATACCACATTTTCTTGATCCATTCATCTACTGAGGGGCATCTGGGTTGGTTCCATATTTTAGCTATGGTAAATAATGCTGCAATAAACATAGTTGTGCTGGTAGCTTTAGTGTGGTCTTGTTTATAAACATTTGGGTAAATGCCCAAAAGTGGGATTGCTGGGTCATAGGGGAGTTCTATGTGAAGTCTTTTGAGGAACCTCCATACTGCTTTCCAAAGTGGTTGAACTGAGGAGTGCCGGGCCCGCCGCCCTCCTCTGTGCCCACTGCCAGCTGCTCGGGACTGCTGGGGCCCAGCTGCCCATAGTGCTCGATGAAGTCGCGCAGCCAGTCACGGAACTTGGCCGCCACCAAAATGGACAGCGTGAGGCGGCTCTTGGAGCCGCCTGCGCCCACCTAGGCGATCTTCAGGAAGCGGCCCTTGGCGTTCTGCTTCACGTCCAGGTAGAAGCGCTTGTTCTGGATGTCCAGCCGCTTCGAGGCCAGCTCCTGCGTCTCCTGCTCGCCGCCACCACTGGGGTGCGGGCTGGAAGCCTCCCTGCCAGCTGCCGCCGCCGCCACTGCCGCCGCGCTCGCTGCCGCTGTCGCTGTCCACCATCTTCTCTGCTGCCGCCTCGCCGCCGCCCGCTGTGCTCACGCCCCCACCCTCTGCCCTGCGGCTGGCGCTCCTGGGCCCCCCAGCCTTGTCCGCCTGCTCCTCACGCGCTCCCGCCGCTCATCGCCAGCCGCCGCTGACATCCCCATCCCCCAAGGAGAATTCTTGTGTGCTGGGCCAGTGGCTGTTGCTGAGCTGGGGTACTGTACCCAAGTGGGCTTCCAGGTGCTGGCCAATGGTGGCAAGGAGACTGTGGCCTGTCATCATAGGGCACCACCACCATTGGGTGGCCACATTCCAGGCTGCCTTTGCTTACCGTGATGACCGAAAGGCCGCCATACTTGCTGCCAGTGGTGAATAAGAACATTTTATAGAGAGGAATTACTATTCTTAAGTGCGAAGACTGGCATTGGTTGAAGGTCACTCGGCTGGAATGTATGGATTTGTACTCTGCTCATGCGACTTTAAATTGAGTCTCAGACTTGAGCACCATCCACTGCAGGGCTGGTTGGAGCAACAGCTGGACGGGTTCCTCCCTCAGGATCTCTTACTCAGTGTGTGTCTGTAAAACCCACTTTTACCTTTCACCTTCTACCTTGGGTAGCCTACATCAGGGTCTTTGGTTGAGTGCCAGGCTGTGCCTGCTGCCTGATGCCTGCTTGCAGGTTGGCCTGCTCTGCAGCCAGCAAAAGCTGAAAGTGTTTCATGTACCATGCACACCAGAGACTCTAATGCATCTATGCCAACATCCTGAGGGCCACTGCCCAGCAGAGAGCACAGCTGAGCCTCAGAGACCTAGAAAACCTCTCTTGGAATGCTGGCTCTGTTCCCTCTTCCTTTTTTGTCACACTGTCAAAAAACCTATGTGTGCTAGACCAAGAAGTGGGTGGCTAGGCCAGTCCCTAATGGGACTTTGTTGCTGTACCCTCATGCACTTCTACCTGCCACATCCTGGGCTCGCAACCCACTGGTATAAGTGCTAGATAATCAGGCCACCACTTCACACTTCAGGACAAAAGAAGCTCACCTGAGGTCTTGGTGCAAAGTCTACATGTCCAGGGCTTGTGTTACTAACCACATCCTCACTAGGGGATCAATAGTGTACTCTCTGGGGCTTCTTCCTCTCTGGGAATGACCAGGCCTTGCTTTATTCACAGGAGTGGCATCTTAGGCAGATCCAGGAGATGCGCAGCATGGATGTGTGCCTGACTTTCATGTAGAGACTTAGATGACTGAGCCAGCCATGGATGGACAGGGAAATGCTTCTGCATCCAAGTTGCCTTGATGAATTTTTACTTAGAAGATGACCTGGCTCTAAGTAGATCTCAAGGGGAAAACAAGAGTAGATGGGCTGGGCCACATCTGTAATTCTAGCACTTAGGTGGAAGAGATAGGTAGAGAGCAGCTGGAGGCCAGACTTTAACTTCATAGTGAGATTGTCTCAAAAGAAAGCCAACGACTGAGGAGGTAGATCAGTGGTTAAAGCAGTTTTCTACTGTGTGAAAGTGTCTGAGTTCAATTCCCAGCATTCTGAGGACAGCATAGACACAAGCTCTGTTCCTGACCTCCTTTCAGAGGGAAAGGACCTAGCCACTTGATCAAGGTGCTTTACAATGAGAAAAACGCCAATAGTACCTCAGTCCTGCACTGCCATTGAACCTTCCCAATCTGTCTGTCCACTGATATGGACCAAGTCATCACTTCTGCTTCCCCACCACTAGGCCAGGGGACCCTTCCCTGTCTGTTCCTTCTCAGAAGGAACACAAGCCATGCTTCTCAGGTAGAACCAGAGTATTTTTGGCAGTTCCTTGGACCTGTTAGTCAGGCCGTGGACCTCAAGGAATCTGCTGTTCAGATGTGGATGTGTAGGGACTGACAAAGCCACAGCTGAGGACAGAGATGGGGCCAGGGTCGCAAGGCTCCTTCCCCATTTGCACTTATCTCTGGATTACACCCAGCCATGTCCTCTGCTGCTCTGATACTGGAGATTGCTAGCACTAGGGGATCACACTGTGCATCTGTGGATTCTGATCTATGCCAAAGCATAGCCATTGGGAGTTGGTAAGGATTGCTGAAGAATGTCCTCTGGAGTTGGGGGGGGGCTTTCATGATGTGGTGTGTGTTGGCACAGGCAAGGGCAGTTCATAGGGAGTGCTGCCAAATCCCTCTTGAGGACCTCCTGCTTACCTGTGATCCTGCCCATGGTTACAGCTGGATATGAGGTGGTTAGGTTGTGAGCTGACAGATCAGAGACCTTCTCTAAACAGAGCCCTGACTTATCTGGAGGGACGACTTGGCCCTGTCTGATGGCCTGGTAGCTGCTACCCAGCTCTGGCTCTTTTGGCTTAGTGGGTATGGAGGCCATGGTGCAGGTGAGGAAGGTCCTTTCCTTCTGGCAGCCCAAGGAGGAGATTTGGTTTGTCCCTACCTCTGGGCTTTGCATTTTTGTCTTATAAGCTTAAATGTCTCTGGTCCTGGAGGAGCTCGGAGTCTAGAAGCAGAGAAATGACACAGTAAGTCCTGACAAACTTGCTTGTCACTAGTGGCAAAAGGTAGCCCAAGGTGTAGGCTGTCAGGCATTCTGGACCTCAGACATGCAATTATTCTAGTCCAATGCCATCAAGATCTGCCCTGCAGGCAGAACACTTATGTCATGGGATGATATGGTGTAGTAAACGCCAGGTGGGTTTGCCATGGAGATGCTCTCCAGGGTCAGACTCTTGAGTGGGGGTGGGCAACTTCACCTACCCCTACCAAGGGCTGAAGGGCATTCTTTCCACTAGGAAATAGCATTTTGTCATTAGTGGGGAGGGAGTTTGGGGGACAGATTGCGTAAGCAGCGTACAAGCAAGATAGCTGGTAGCGAGTGGTGAAAGCTGCACTGCAGAATGAGGAACAGGAGGCTGTAAACAGTTTACAAGGAGCCTTGAGTAGGTTGAGGTTTAAGTGAGCTCAGTGGGTGAGACCAAAGGCAGAGAGATTAGTGTTCAAGGCTAGGACTGAAAGGGTTTTGGAGAATCGTGAGGGAACTGAGTTTGAGGTAGCAGAGGTAGGATTGGGCTTGGCTGTATGGGGTTGTGGATGCAGGAGCATGAGGGTTGGGACGTGAGGGAGTGGTGGCATTCTGGCCTGTGCACATGGCATAAGTGAAGAGGGAAGGTACAGGGAAAGAACGTCTGAGGGCTCACTGGAGTCTGGGGCTAGGCCATTGTATTGGGCCACTGAACCAGATGTGCTCGTAGTCTCTGAGTGATGCCTCCACCCTTGGGAAGCAGACATACAGATGAGCCTTTTCCAGGTTGCACCTACATACAATCAAGCATTTGATCTGTGTAGAGATCTGTGGTCCCATTGTGTGTGGTCAGGTTGAATTGGCCCAGGTCACTGGACAGGAATATAGACATCCTTTGCCCATAGGTCAGCTCTGAGGACCAGCAGAGTGGCAGAAGCACAACTGGAAGCTCGGTCCATGGAAAATCTGCACTATCCTTATCCTCCTTTTCCAAAGCCTGAGGTATCAGACCCAGCAGGACAAGGCACTGCTGTCAAGGTACATGGGATATGATCCCTCAGTGGTTACTTTTGAGGGTGTGAAATTGAGGTAAGCTGGGCAGTAATCCTTATCGACCAGACTCAAGTTTTCATTTTAGACACAGTACAGGAGGCATTAGCTGGTGAGTTACTGCTCCCATCGCTCAGCTCCATGGAAGTTTGTACTGACAAGCCCAGTACTGTGAGTCCCATACAGGCCCATCATCCTTCCCCCTCTGGGACAGGTGGGAGGCCTCACAGGGACAGACAGCAAAGGACAGGGTCCTTGCTGTCCCAGAACCTTCACTTGGATTAGCTTGTCACTTGACACTGGGAGGCAATTCTGGCCTCACTGTCATCTCTCATCCCACATGCCCACAAGCATGCCATGCCAACCTACCATCAACAATACAAGTCTTTGGGCTCTGTTCCTGTCAGGGAAGGTGCCAGGCCCATTTGCATCCACGGGGCCACAAACAGCCCCAACAGCAGCCACCCCATTCCCCTCCCTCCCACCCTCATTCTTCTTACTGTCCACATGCCGCCCCGGTCTTTTCAGACTTGTGCACAGGAGATGACCCCAGCTGGCAAACATCAGCTGACCCTCCACCTGCCTCAGTGTGACCACTAGGCACCTGCGTTGGTCACTCACTTGGGTGAGTGTCTGTGCACACTTGTTCCCACACAACACACTAACACTGGGTCAGGCTTAGACACAGTCACACAGAGCTTTCTCTGCAATTACCACAATGCCCTAAGCTCCTTTCTTCCCCAGACATCCTTGAAAATGAGATCACTGAAAAGGGCCCTGTGCCAATGAAATCCTGGCCCTGTCTTCATGCCCACTATCCAACACTCCCCCAGTTTAAACACTCATCACAGGTGAAAGAAGCTCGCTACAGACATGGGAAATGAGGTATCACAAGAGCTGCATCTACCCAACTGCATTTCACTTGGCATGCTTTGGCTGAATTCTGACATGTCCCTTCCTAGCCAGTCCCGGGCCCAATACTGCCTCTCAGCTCTGCTGCCAGGGGCCTAACACCTTTCTCACCTTTTGTAGGCTTTCACACGTGTGTATGTGTGTGTGTGTGTGTGTGTGTGTGTGTGTGTGTGTGTGTGTGTGTGTTAATCCCATGATCCTCCTCAGTTCCCCTTTCTAAAAGTGGTAGAGTTTTTTCTGAGCTCCTGCCAGCAAGCCTCCAGGGGAATAGGTCTTACTTTGCCAAGAGATTCTGCCCATACCTGGAGAGAAAATGGGATGATGGTTCTCATGATTGTGGAGGACATGTACACCATATGGACAGTAACAAAGGGTACTTGTTGCAGATGCCCAGGGGGTATCCACAACCCTTTTGGCCCCATGGAGGCACTGTGCTCCAGCAAACAGGCCCTGTGAGTGACTAGGTGATCCTTGTCCTGCAAGGCTCTCACTGATGTGGCCAGCTGGAGCACACCCAGGTCTCACCCAA